CCCCAAAACCCCAAAACCCCAAAACCCCACTGGATTAAAATCAGTTGATTGTAGTAAGAATTTCAAGCATGATATAAATAATAAAAAAATTTACTAAATCAGTCTGAGATATTAGTAATGGGTTAATAAGTAACTTGCTGCCAAGCAGTAAATTGTAATAAATAGAATGAACTAGAGTATAGTAAAAATAACAATTCTGATAATGAGTCCAGATCTCATTCCTCTGAATTTGCCTCTCATTCCTCACTCTCCTCTTCAAATAGAAGCAACAATAACAAGAGACACAAACATTCCAAAAGCATCTCATCAAATAATTAATCAGTTATAAATAAAAGTAAAAATTGAAATAATGGAACTGTCCTAGTCAACAACAATGATAAAAATGATGGAACAGGGGGCTTTATACTTCAAATTGATGAAGCAAGTGATAGAGTTGACTAAAGAATTATGTAAGAGAGAAAAGAAAGATAGAGACAAGAACTATAGCAATGAATTCAGGCTTAACAATAGTAAGATGCTTTGATAAAGTAATAAGCTGATGGACAGTAAAATGATCAATAGTAATCGGCAAGTAACTATAATAATCAGGATGTGAAGCATGAGGAGAAAGTGATCTAAATAAAGTCTAACTAAGTTGATTCTCAAGAAGCATAAGTTGAATAAGCGAAATTAGAGTCAATAAACAGAGCTTAAATGAACTAGAAGATTTAAGAGGAAATAAAATAGCAAGTAATCGAAAAAAAGATTCCATAAGTAAAAAAATCATCTTGAAGAGGCACATAAAAAGCAACTGATCCTATAATTGATAGTAATAATAAGCAGCCGGTTATACACCAGAGCTCCTCAAAAATACAGATAAACACTAAATTATTCGCTCCGAAATAGCGAAAAGAAATCGAGTCATAATATAAAATCAAAGAAACTCTCGGATAAGGCTCATTTGGCTGTGTTAAGCGTATTTAACATAAGATCTTGAAGGAGGATAGAGCATTAAAAATCCTAAAGAAGGTTAGCATTAAGAGTGAGTCAGAATTCATGCATGAAATTTCGATGCTAAAATCAATTGATCATCCAACTGTGCTTAAATATTACGAATGCTATTAGGATGATTATAATTACTATATCGTTACAGAATATTGCTCAGGAGGTGAACTTCTTAACTTCCTCATTAACAATAGGGCTTTTAATGAATAAGTAGCTGCTAACATTATGAAACAGCTACTATCAGCAGTGTCGTACTGCCATTCTAGAGGGATAGTTCACAGAGATCTTAAGACAGAAAATATTTTGATTAAAGATTCGAAAGACATTTACAATGCTCAGATCAAGATAATTGACTTTGGCATTTCATGCAAAATTTAGCCTCAGGAAAAATTAACTTCAACCTTCGGCACACCATATTATATGGCTCCTGAGGTATTTAAGTAAAACTATACTGAGAAATGTGATCTATGGTCATGTGGTGTAATCCTTTTTATTGTACTATGTGGCTACCCACCATTTAATGGCAAAAACATTTAGCAACTAAAGCGAAATATAATGAATGCGGCTTATTCGTTTAGCAACCGAGCATGGGACGGAGTTAACAATACCACTAAGAATTTCATAGCTAAATTACTAACCATTGATCCATCAAAGAGAATCTCAGCCGCAGAAGCCTTAAGTGATAAATTTTTCAAAGAAAATTAATAGTTTGTCCCCAAAGCCACAAAAGATGACACCTCCTATCTTTAAGCTATGAATAATTTGAAGAATTTTGACTCTCACTCAAAAATGAATCTAGCTTTAAAATCTTACTTAGCAAACTATTTGATATAGGATGAATACGAGAAAAATCTGAGTAAAATATTTTAAGATTTAGATATTGACAGGAGTGGCACATTATCCAAGGCTGAGTTTAAAAAAGCCTATAAATTTTTCGGTGAAAAAACCTTCTTGCTAGATGAAGAGCTTGATGAAATATTTGAAAGAGTAGATACTAACAATAATGGCCAAATAGATTATTCAGAGTTTATCACTTCGGCTTCAAACTTGAATTAGTTAATGAGCGAGAAATAACTAAAGGCTGCCTTTAAAGCACTTGACCTTGATGGAAATGGATAGATTAGTTTCTAAGAATTTGAAGAGATTTTCGCAGCAGGCATGGACATAGACAAAGAGGAGCTGCAGGGCATTTTCAGGGAAATTGACACTACAAAGAATGGACTCATTAATTTTGAAGAATTCAAGACCTTTCTCAAAAAAATATTTCAGAAAATTAGCTCTGTTTAGAGGATAGCGCAACATTGATTACTATTAATAAGTATCAGCCAACTTAACACAATTACAAATTATATGTCATAACAATATATATTTAATTTTACAATAACTATCAATATTTATTTGGCTAATTTATGAAATTAAGATTAATATTATAAATAATTTTGGCTATATTAGCTATATTTCACTAGGAAATCTTATTTTCATATACAAGAGGGCTTTCATCAGTCTTTTGTTGAACTATTTAAGCCAACTATTAATCAATGTCCTCAGCTACTAAATCATTTTCTAATTAGGCCAACTTGTCCTTTAAAATTCCATATTTATCATTGAATCCATCAATCATATCAAGTAACTAAATATTTTGCTTTTTAAGATTTTCTTATGCTATTAGGACACTTTGAGTGAGTAACTGACTTTGCTATTTTAATTAGTCATTCTGCTTATTATTTATTGATTCATTTCTCATGCCATTTACTATTGAACCAGACATTTACGAGAAGTGAAACTTATGCATTTCTCCATAGCCTCCACCATAATTTATTCCTAGAGACTATGTTCTCAACTTATTTATTTCTTCAATTTTCTATGCCCTTTTAGCCTGTACTTCTTTGATAATTGTTAAGGCCTCTGGAATAGGCTATAATCCATCTCTCAGTCTTTGATAAAATCTGCAAAGTGCCACTCTAAATTTCTTTCTTAAAAGACTTTTCAGCTGATCTGAATATTCTTTCCTTGGAGGTCTGTATCTAAAGAAATCAAAATCAATTTCATTTTCATCAAATTTTTCTCTAATAACATCTAGCTAATCTGCTAACAAATAGTATTTTTTTGCTAGTCTAAATATATCCTCTCTTGATATTGACTCCAAAATACAATCACTGTCTGCTCTAAATGTCTAAAGCTGCTAAGCTTCATCTGAAATGAAGGTGTAAGCGCAAAAGGCTGACCCCTACACAAATAAATATAAATGTAGTAAATTTTACTGCATTGAGCTTATCAAATTCTTTTTCTTCATCAGGAGCTGATTATGTTCCAATATTTCTTGACACCATTATCACAATAGAGCCTTCTCTTAAGAAGTGAATTTTCTATTAATATAAAATCTAAAATTGCTTACATTACTAACGTCTCCTATCTTAATGATGTCAGATCCAGCTGAAAATCTTTTCACCTCTAAGCAGCAAATAATTTCATTAACAATTTCATCACTCATATTTCTAAGGAAGTGAAGATTTTTAATCATCAACCTTCTAAAGTGCATTTTAGGATCGGAGTATTCCCTGATTTTATCTTTAAACTATTGGACTATATGTGGATAGTAATGCTCCATAGTTTTTAAGTCATCTTTATTCATGTATGCACAATTTGTAAATTCAGATGACTTAAGAGAAGCAGTTCTCTTTAGTTTTGTTAGCAAGGCAACCTCTCCAAAAAACTGGCCTTCTTTTAAAATTCTATATGTAGCCAAAAATTTCTCTTCTTCATCAATATCACTTTCTTATTCTTAACTATTCTTTTCATTTTATGCTTCTTGATCCAAATTTTTTGTAGCCTAGATTTCTTTATTAAGCTATACTTGGACCTCACCTTTATTAATGAAGTAAATGTTGTCACCTTTCTCACCTTCTCTTGCTATGTAATCCCCAGGGAGGAATAAAACTGGCTTCAAATTGCTTATGAAAAAGCTTTACTCTACACTACTAGATTTATTCATGATTGGAACTTTCTTTATCAAAGGTCCATGGAGATGATACAGTATTTATTTTTTAAGAGGTTCATTTAAGATCATAAAAAATTTGTCAATATCTTAATGCAAATCAGGAGAATATTAGATATGCATCATGAAACTCAGCACTTTATCTTACATTTTTGGTGATAGTTTCATTTATCTCATAGTGGTATTTACTAAATCCATTTATTCGTCAAATTAGTTTGCTTTTTTATTGATTGCAGCCATTATAGCTGCCATATTACCAAATATAAAAGCAGATAATATTGCTCCTGTAATAATGATTATAGATGCTGCTACTGTTTATAAGGTATCATTTGGAAGTATATCATTACCAGCCATTGTTAATACAGCATAATAGTACACTACAAAGTATTGACTCATCATTTATAAATAGTAAAAAGCAGTCAATTCAGAGGTATCATCACCTGGATTAGATAAAGCAATGTCTTTTGGAGGAATCCAGTCGCCATATTGTCTGATTATCAAATACCATATACAAGCTATCCAATGAACTAATAAAAGTTGCCCAAGTAATAGCTAAATCAGTCTCATTCCCATTTTAAAGCCTTATTTAAGTTTCATATACCTGATTATTCTTCCAAGTCTTAGCAGTCTTACAAGTTTAAGTAAGCCAAAGAGCTTAAGTTATTTATTTGAGGCTCCTGGATCTGTACCTTCAATAACTAATTCAAAAGGGATTGAGGCAGCTAGATCAACAAAAAATCTCCCAGATTTAATGTAATTTAAAGCAACTGGACGATTTCCAGCAATTTCAAAGCCAGTTTTCTCATTAATATAACTTGTCCTCATATTGAAAGCAATATCCAGACCAAAGCAAACGTCAATGATTCTCTCCCAAGCTGAGTAACCATCATTCTAATCTGGTTCGAATGCCACTGTAAAAGGTATTGTAATGCAATTATAGAGTGCTAAGATCATGACATATAGATCCCAATTCATTCTAAACTTGCTATTATGTCTCAGCATGAATTTAGCTAAATTGTTCAGATTAGATACACTTATATATTATTGATAATGATTTGTCGTAATTTACTTACGAATAACTTGCTAGCTTTTTAAGAATTTCTCTTTCATTGTAGGCACATACTCCTTTTCTTATTCTTAGTCCTCTATTTAGTCTTCTATCTTCTATCTAATACCAGTACCCACAATCGAAGCTATTGTTCTCTAATCATAATAAATTAAAAACTTTAGGTTATAATTACTTTTCGCTTTAGAGGAGAGCTTTAAATTTCCTGAAAAGTTTACTTTTTCTTTGCAGGACTTTTGGTCTCTACTGTATCATTTAAAACATCATGGTATCTTTGTTGGCGTGTAGCTTTAATATTGAGTGGTTTTGGTCTATTTTGTTCGATTCTCAAGGCATGCTCCCGAGAATCGTCGTTATTTCTTGTATCCATCATTTTAGAATCTATAAATTAGGGTTTGAAATTTTTTAATTAATATCTTATTAGCTTACATTCCTGTTGATCATGCCTTGGACTATTCTTTTTATCATTAATTAATGGAGTTTGCTATAATAACATTGAAGAAGCTGAAATATGGTACTGTTCTAAGAGTGGTTGTGTTAATTTCAAACGTATCGCTATTTTACTGTCTCATCATAGTTTTAATTTATTAATATATACTTAATCTAATTAATTATTCAAATTCAATTTTGGTCAAAGGCCTCTGGGACTTAACTTTTCAAGGCTCTTTTGATGATCTCTACATCTGAGTTTGTTAAGAAGTTTTTCATGGCGAATCTATGAATGACTTCATCTGGGTTCTGTCCCTTGTATAGTGTGATTCTGTCTACCTGCTCCTTATTTATATGTATATCAAGATAAACCAAAGGATTATCGATTTCAACAGGAGGCTTTGGGTTCTCAGAAGCTCTCTGACTCACTTATTAAGATTGCATTGATGCCATTGTACTCTTAACATTTTCTGCTAGGTTATTGAAGTTCAGATTTTCAGGCAAGTTTTCTTTCATACTTTTCCTCAGCATGCTACTCACTTTATTCTAGCCAGTTCTTTTATTGCTGTTATTCATGATATAGTTTCCTTTCATCATTACTCTTGATATACTTTCTATTATCTCCTTATTAGTCACTTTACTCTAACCTTCACTCTTTTTACTTATATTACTTCCATAGCTACCAACTTTATTGCTCAAAGATATCTCGCCAAGTACTGATCTTTTTTGAATAAGATTTTAAGAATTAGGTGACCTATTCCTTTTAATGTTCAATTCTGGCTTGAAGGTGCAGTCCTTGATCTGCCTCTCTAAACTTGCCAGAGATTGATCCTACCTCCTCTTTTCATACTCCCTACCTTTCAGAATAAGTTAATCATGTCTATTCTTTACGAGTGACTTTTAGTCCTAACTCTCAGATATTATTCTTGACAGCGGGTTTATCATAGGCTTGGCCATAGTATGACTCTTTGGTGTTTCAACTGTCTTTTTCTTTATTATTTTTACAAATTGCTCACGATTTTTGTAAAATCTGGCAAATTTATAATGGATCTTCCTGCACTCCTTGTAATCAGTTTTACCCCGGATATTTTGAATGTTTAGCAAAATATTGAAAAGCTAATCTAAATATATGTAGGAGCAACCAAGACTAGATTCTTTATGGCCTATATACTCCCAAAGTTTTAATAACTCTATTCTATCAGTATTATCCCGAATAAAACCTAAACTTGCCATGATTTCTTCAATTTATTTAAGATCTACCTAATGAAAGTCAAAGTCCTGTATCCTCCCAAACATGGCTTAGACTGCATATTTAAATTCTCTTTCAAATGGCTACTGAAGATATTTCTCTGATTTGGGTAGTACTCCTATGCTAGTAATCTAAGACAACTCTTAAATTTCTTATTCTCTTAATTCAATAGAGAGCTATCTCTCTTTTTGTCTTCTTAGTGCATCACAGTACAATATGTCTTCAACCTTTTTATGATCTCTGTCTAAAAGACCAGTTGCACTCAAGATCTATGGCTGAAATGTGAACTCAGGAGACAATTACCTACTCTACATTTTTTCTTTCTTATCCTCCTATCTATATAGTCTGTCATAAACACTAGTTGGGGACAAGCTATTTGAACAGGCTTTTCTTTATGCTAATATTCTCTCTGAACCTTTGCATACTAATTACACCTTATCCAGATCTTTCTATTCTTCAACTAATTATTCTTGAAATTTATACAATAATTTCTTCATAGTTTTTTCCTAATACTAAAGCTAGTCATCATAGAACTGCTTAGGACTTCTTGGCATTAAACTACTATTGCATCTGCTATTATTTCCATTAAGCTATGCCTAGGGGCTATTTTAAACTGTAGATGAATAGTTCTTATTTGGAAATTGAATCTTTGAGGTGTGGGATTTGCTGTTTACGAAATGTGGTGTGAAAGAGCATTCCTTCATAACCTGCTCTTCTTAGTCTTCTTGAAGTAAAGCAATCTTTTAGCTTACTCTATCCTTATGCTAAACTAATCTTGAAGAAAGCTCATTCTACGATTAACTAGAATGTCTCAAATTTTAACTCTCATTTAAGCGATCTTATAGTTAAAAGGGGTAACGCTAGCTATATCTTTCTTTGGAGTTTTCACGGGAGAGCGTATTATATTGATACATTGAGGTCATTTTATGATGATAACCTGTTTATGTTTTAGGCCTTTATACTTCTATCTTCTAATTATGTGAAGGCTTTTTTATGTATTTTTCTTGATCTTAAATAAATGAATCGAAATGTGAATTAAGTACATTCGAGGAGTCAGCTCTGTTTTCCTTTTAAGAGATATTTTATTGATTTTGTAATACTGACTTTGGCATGCTACTGTAAGTTGAAAATGTATTCTTGAGAGAACCCAATCTTTGAAAATGTGCCTAATAGTTCTTCTTAATTTTTGAGTTATTGATTGTATTGTGATTTATACTGCTATTGTGATTACTAGTGCCATTCAATACGCTATGAAATGTTCTTGTGCTTTGAATCATACTTTTGGTACTTGCATTATCAATCTGTGATGTGCTCACTATAAAATAATCAATTAGAATTTCTTATAATACTTACACTTAGATTGATCAAATATTGATATGTTACTACTGTTCTTAGCTTGCTGAAAATGATTACTAATTTATTGCATAGGCATTGGAATTGGAGAAGGGTTTGGAAGAGATTGATAGCTTAGTTTTTGACTTTGCAATAGATTTTAGCTTTTAGAAGGACTGATTCTTCCTAGCTAAATACAGCCATTCTGCTTTAAGAATTCTCCGGTGATCAACTATTGCTAGTGATAGTACTTATTCTTATCATAGTTAACTATTCTTAGAGGTGGCTCTTCCTGTGATTATGAACTTTGATGTACAATCTTCTCTTCAAATAATTTATTGCAAATGGAAGCTTTTTTCTGGGTGATATCTACATACTAATAATATAAATTCATCGAATTTCAGTTGATTATTCTTGTCTTACTTTTTCAAGCAAATTCTTATTGATTCTTTCATCTCCAATGCTAATATCCAGGTCTAAACAAACATTAGATATTAGTAAATATGAATAATACTGTCTTGGTCGAAGGTGTCAAATATAGGATTTTCATCTAGCCCATCTTCCTCAGTGTCTTCTATGATTTCCACGAGAGATCTCATCCTAGCTGCCATTAATGAAATAATATTTATATTCTATTCAAATTTAAAATCAACTACTTCTTATGTATTCGTTGAAGATTATTCTGCTCTCTGGGGTTTTGGGGTTTTGGGGTTTTGGGGTATTTACAGTAAACGCTCTGCATAAAGTTCAAGCAATTGAGACTCTAGAAAATTA